TCTCCGTCCCGCCCCGCCCCCGGCTTGCCGGGCCCCCACCGACACCCGTCTCGCCGCCCGTGGCGCCGCCCTGCTGTCGTCATACACAGCCAAACTATCTGGCTCCGGGCTCGACGCGGGACACGGGCGTGCTGCTGGGCCACGGGGGCGAGGGGCCTTTCGCCTGGCAGGGGTCCCTGGCTACAGAAATAGCAGTCACGCTCGCAAAAGCAGGCGAGCGTGCGCTTTCGCGCCGACTGCTGCACTTTCATGGGGCCCGCAGTGCAGAGTGCGGGGCGGCGCGGCACGCCGTCGCTGCTCGGGGGGCCGGGCCCGTCGTGGGGCCAGTGGCATGCACAGCAGGGGGGTGTCGCCTCTTGTACCGCAGCCGCGACCCGCATCGCCGCAGCCGGTGCATCCGGGATCACCTTGCGCATGTGCGCGCGCCGCCCACCCTCCCACGCCCGGCGAGCAGGCTTTGTCGTGGTGCGCGACGCCGGCCCGGCCGCCCCAGAGGTCAGGCGGCAGCGCGTCTTCGAAAAGGCCCTGGACGCCGCCGCCACGTCGCCGTTTGCGCGCCTAGCGCCGCGCTGGGTGCTGGCCGGCCTGGGCGCGGGCGCGCGCGTGGCGGCGGTGGTGGGGGCGCGGGCGCGGAGCAGCGTGGTGGCGCAGGTGCTGGTGGCTTACCCTCTCGCGGTGGGTGCGGGTTGCGGGGGTGTGAGGATAGACGCATGCACATGCACATGCACATGCACATGCACATGCACATGTGCTTGCATGGTAGTGCGCCGCGCGATGCGTGCTTGAGCCCGCCCGGCTGTCGAGGCGAGGGGGCGATCGAGGTGGCAGCGGGGTCGAGCAAGGCTGGGTGAGGAGGGCGCCGAAGTTCCCTGCACGCACAGCTGTCGCCAGACGCAATTTAAACGGCCTACCTGCCGTCGACCCCTCATGTTTGCCTGCACACCTGACCCTGTGCCTGATCCCTCTCCTCGCCTCTCAAGTTGACCAACAGTCTTCACACTCAACCAAAAACCAACCCGCAGGCCCCCATGCCCACCATCAAGGGCAGCCAGATGCCGGACTCGTGCATGCCGCTGCTGCGCGTGTCGGTGCCGACCCTGCTGGTGGCGGGCGACGCCGACGCGGCGTGCCCCGTCGCGGCGTTGCGGACGGCGGTGCGGGCGATGGCCAGCCCTGACGTGCGGCTGGTGGTCGCACAGGTGCGCGCGTTTTTGTGGTGTTTGTGGTGTTTGTGAGTGTGTGTGTGTGCGTGTGTAGGTGCGTGTGTATGTGTTTGTGTGTTTGCGTGTGTGTTTGTGTGTTTGCATGTGTGTGCGAGTGTTTGTTCATGTGCGTGTGTGTGCAGATGTGTTTGTGTGTGTATGTGTGTGTGTGGTTGGTGGCATGCGCACACATGTATGTATCGGGCGCACCACGTGCGTGAGTGGTGTGTGTGTGTGTGTGTGTGTGTGCGCGCGCGTGTGCGCGTTTGTCAGCACATGGGATGCCACGCATGTTGAGGGAGCGCTTGCCAAGGGTCCCCAGCATGCAGCGCTTGGCAGGGGCGTACTCACGTCCAGGGGGTGCGGGCGGTGGGCGGGGGAGGATCGGACCTACAGCCATGGGATGCATGGTCTCATGGCAACCTGTGTTGCGAGGTGTGCAGGTTGGGGGGGTGCACCTCAAAGCCGGGTGGGCAGCTGGCTCCGCTGGGCTCTGGCGGCGCAGCCCAGGAGGCGCGCACCCAACCACGCATGCGCCCGTGTCCGGTCCCACAACCCGTACCAAGACCTCACAGTGCCCGTACGTACGCACACACGCATTCACACGCTCTCGCACGTGCGCGCGCGCGCGCACACACACACACACACACATGCACACACACACACCAAACCCTCCCCAGGGCGTCGACGGCTCCCTGAGTGCGCCAGGCGCAGAGCCCCCAGGGCCTGTCTCCGCGCCGCTGGCCGCGGCGCTCGCAGCAGCGGTCCTGGAATTCGTTGCAGCGGCGGCGGCCGGGCGCCTCGACACGTGCGGGCTGCAGCGGGCCAAAGGCCCGGACGACGGCCCGCCGGCCGGCGGGGGGCTGGCGGCGCTGCAGGCCGCGCACGTGAGCGGGGGCGCGCCTCAGGTCAGGGATGCGACCGGTTGCGCGGCTACAGCCTCACTGCAGCCGCAGCGGTACTGCTCGCGGGCCGCTGCATTTCGCGTGCGTCCAGGCATGCGGGCGCCTGTCTAACACCTTGACGCCCCGGCTGTCGGCCGCTTCCATCTGATGTGTGCGTTTCAGGTGCGCATGCAGGAGGAGGACGCTCTGGCTTACCAGCAGGTTGGTTTGAGGGGGGCTGAGAGTGTGCGCATGCTTGTGTGCATGCACAAGTGTTCATGCGCACGTGTGCTTGTGTGTGTGTATGTGTTTGCATGCATGCGTGTGCGCGTATGCGCGCGTTCTTACGTGCGTGCCGATTGTGTGAGGAGAGGGTTCAAGAAGCGGGCGTGAGGGCAATCCTTCAGCATGCGCAGTCCCCATCCACGGTGTTGTTGGCTCCATGCGCACAACGCGCCGTGCCGTCGCACGCCTATTATATGCACTGCTCATCCTGCAGCAAGCCTTGCACTGGAGCAAGCGAGAGCTTTTTCGCCTGTCAGTCATTCGCAATCCGCCCCCCCTCTCGATCTCAGGGCCCTTCAGGCCTACTCCCAGCAGAAGGCGAGGAGGCAGTGGCGGGTCCAGCGGCGGTCCCACCGCCGTCAGGCGGCGGCGGTGCCGCAGTCGGGCACACCAGCGGCAGCGGCGGCGGCGCGGCCGAGGGCGCGACTGCGGATGCGCAGCGGCGGGAGCAAGAAGCGCCGGCCGGCGGAGCCGCGCAGCAGTCGGAAGCGGGGCAGGCGGCGGCCGAAGGCGACGCGATGGCCGAGTGAGGCGCTGTAACGCAAGCGGGCGCCGAGCACCCACCCACCACTCTTGCAGCAGGCCCTCAGGCGCTGCGGTCATCAGGTTTGCTGCGTCTTTCGTTCAACCCCGGCCCTCCGACACGCTGAGGGCGACTGCGCGGCAAGGCGAGGCAGATCCAAGGCAACACCCTGTGAGCGCCCCCGTCATTCCCCCGGCACCGGCCAGCTTGGCAGCTATGGACAGGGGTACGTCCTCCCCACCCGCCCCCAAACGACCCAAACCTGCTGTGCACTGCGCCTGGCGGCCCGTGCGGCGCTCAGTCAAGCCCGGCCGCTTGCCCTGGGGCAGGGGGTGAGGCGGCCGCTCCAGCGTTTCCCAAAGTGTACAGCAGTGCACAGGCAGGGGTACAGAAAGCAAGATGCCCGCGCGGCCGGGTCAGAGGCGTGCAGGCTTGTGTGCAAGCCCGCACCCACCGCGGCGCCTGTGAGGGCGGGCCCGGGCTCACGTGCCCGCGGGCGCAGCCACGCGCTGCTGCGGTGCTTTTCCCCTCCGGGCTACCACTCTGGTCCCCGCCCCGGACTTGACCCATGGGCGCAGTGCGGGGCCCAGTGCTGCTCTTGTCACCCCCATCTTTTCCCGTCGCCGCACCCGCCTAGCCGGCTGAGAGCCTGGTCCGCCGTCACCCCTTCGCCCACTTCCCCAGCGCGCCCAGCGCGCCCCGTCTGCGTGGCTGCAAGAGCAGTGCTTCTGTTGCAGACAAATAAACATGTGATGCAGTGCCCGGTTTTGACGGTGGGTGCGTGGGTGCGTGGATGAGCAGTTTTTCCACGGGGCGAGAGCGGCGTCGCGCCGAGCCGCTCGCCGCCCAAACCCAACAAGGGACGCATCGCGTGTGGCACAAACGCGTGGCATACGGGGGGCTGGTGCGAGGGCAGCTACATTGGTGTGGACGATTGCGGGCGGGCGGTGTGCCCGCCGCCCGCCTCTGCCGCCTGCGCGCATTCCAGGGCACGCGGGCGGCAGGGGCAGGCGGCGCAGCCTCGCCCCCGCGTTGGGGCCGCCGGCGGGGGAGTCGGTGTGGTGGGGTGCGCAGTTTTTTGGGGCTGCAGGCGGCTGCAAGTGAGGCTCCTGTGATGGGTCGCGGGCCACTAGCCCCGTGCGACGGGGCCCCACGCCCCTCGGCGCACACACCGCCTGCTAGCTACTCGGCGGCTTACAGCGGCGCGTTCGCCTCGGCGCAAACGAGGTGGGGTCAAGGCGGCGCGGGCGAGGGTGGCGGGCAGT